AACACATCACTGTTGCCTCAGGTCACATCTATTTCTGTGAAAATATGTCTGGCATTCACTGTCATAGAGGAGGATTGATATTACATAGCAGTTCAGTACTCTTTCCTTTCTGTCTAACGAAATTTGTCTGCTTTTTAATACTTTCTTTCTGGTCGTTAAATTTTCTGTTCATATATTCTGTTCGTTAAATCTTTCTGTTTATATATTCTGTCATTATAATTGATGGCCAATATATATTTCTCGTTTTTCCATTACTAGCTTGTTTAGGAACTCCTGCAGTTTTAGGGCTCAAATAATCCAGTCAAAAAAGTCTTGCATAGACATGAATATGGTAAGAAGGTATTTCATTAGAAAAGAAAAGGGAATATTTCTAACCACGGAATATCCGTTTAGTATTTGAAGTGCTTGAAGAATGAAAAAGGAAGAAAGAGAAAAAAATAACTGAAGATAAACAATCAATTCTTCCTGTGTGTCTTCCTGCTAAATAGAATCAGTTCGCCAAACTTTAGATTCCAAATCTTTACTACCTAGTGAATAAATGCATTAATAAATTTCATGGGGTTCCATCGAAGCTGTGAGTCCGAATTTTGAGTTCGGTAGTACGGAAAAAATACAGTAATATAGTGAAGAGAGAGAGAGAGATCGGCATTACAAGGAAGAAGTGTTATGATTTCTGAAATTCCCTCGGAAGAACACCGGACATGACAGACAATGGAATGAGAATAGAAAACTCAAGGAAAAGAAAACAAAACTTCCGTTCAACATTTCTAGAAGATTACTAAATGCGCCAAATAGCAGAAAACCCGAAGGTACAGTGACCGAAAGGCTGGGATAAAAATAACAAAAATAAGGAAATTAGTCTGCAAAAATCAATGAATTTAATATATAGGAAATATTTTTTTTTGAGAAAAAAATAAGAAACTCACAGAAAAAAAAAAATGAATGAAAGAAAGAATACAGGAGACGAAACCAGACTGAAAAATTGTTTTTTATGCACATGTAAATAATACGTAAAGAATCATAAAAATCGATTCAACTATTACAACAAAGAAATGGAAAATAAAAAAAAGACGTAGCATTTGGGAGAAATGCAAAGAAAAATTGTGACTAAAGAGTAAAAAATAATGGAAAACAAAAGAAAATGAAAGAAACAGAGAAGATATTAAATGATCGAAAAAAAATATGGAAAAATGACGTGAGAAAAAAATGAATGAAAGAAACAGAAGAATAAGAAAGAAAGAGGGAGAAAGAAGAGAGAAAGAAAAAGATTTGGAGACAAACAGACGACAATAAAATTCATTGCCGCTCACGCGCTATCTCATTCATAGAAATCTGTGAGAATTTTATAAAGCGAAAATAATTCGGTTTTGTTGTATTCATCCTGTTTCTCACTGGTCATGTCTTCATGAGTGTTCCATTCCCGAACACCCACCCACCCACAAACGAAGCAGAAAGCAAAATCCCCCACCTCTCTCTCTCTCTCCCTCTTTCTCTTGCTTCCTCTCGCTTTCTTTCCCTCGCACTTTCATTCTCTCATTTCTCATTTTTGGTTGTCTCTCTCTCTCTTTCAAACCCCGTCAATTCCTTTCTTTTCCGGCTTTGGAGTATTTCTAACCGCGGAATATCCGTTTAGTATTTGAAGTGCTTGAAGAATGAAAAAGGAAGAAAGAGAAAAAATAACTGAAGATAAACAATCAATTCTTCCTGTGTGTCTTCCTGCTAAATAGAATCAGTTCGCCAAACTTGTGTAAGAGACAAAATTATAAGGGAAAAATTATCAATTAAATTAGACTTTATATTAAACTAGCTTAAAAGCCGCCCTAAGCTAGCTCCTGCGGAGTTCTCTTGATTGGGCGTTCGGCTTGTTCAGGTGTTTAGGTGTTTGTGAGTCCCTAAGTTTTTGCATATACTCAGCATTGATAGCTTTCCTGGCTGCCGTTTTGTCTGGGTTCTCATCTGCACGGGACTTTCTTTTCCTCGCTGCAGCCTTGGCTCTTTTGATTGCAATCTGGTCCCCTGTTGGCGGAGATTTCTTTTTCTAAGGCAATACTGCTGCCATATGTGATAGGCAACAAAAAACTACAGAACTTGATCGTTGTATTTAAGTATTGCATTACTATTTAAGCTTACCTTTTAAAAGTTCAATGATAATTCTTCTGCCCCCATTCAAATACAATTTGATGTACGTAGGTCCTTACTTTCCGTACAAACAATTATTCCCAAATTTATTTCCTTATTATAAAAACTGTTGCCATACAAAAAAAAATTCGTCACAAAATATGGAAAAAAATCACTGAAACCAATCACAGTAATGAAAACTTGAAAATCAAAAATTTCAGGATTGCAGGTCCGGATCCGACCCGGAAAGATTTTAAATTGCTCACAGAGTCGGCCTGATCCCAAAATGGTATGATACGTTGAGTTACGGCTTCTAGGATTAAAGTTGAAAATGTGTGACACACTGACATTGACATTTATTTATATATATATAAAATATAGTTTTTATTAAGGTTCGTGAATACTGTTCGAGATAAAAGTTTTTCATTACATGTGTTGAAACATAAACTACAGAGTATTATAATAATACTAAATCAAGAAGAAAACCTTAAAGATCAATTTCGGCTATAATTTATTTCGTGAATAACCTTATATATTCATCTCTTCAGATCGAAAGCTTTTTTTTTTTGTTGTTGTTTTTTTGTTGGTAAAAGCTTTCGGTCTGAAGAGATGAATATATAGAAATATAAACGAAATAATTTGAAACCGAAATGGATATTTATGGTTTTCTTCTTGATTCATTATTATTATTGATATTACTGTGTACACACACACACACACACACACACACAAACACACATACATATGCGATCGGGAGACAAACTCTATCACTGATATCGAGAAATATATTAGATCTAAACTGATATTGAGCGCTTTCCAATAAGTACCAAGCATATATAATATATAAATAATATATATCGGAATTAAACACACACACACACACACACACACACACACACACACACACACACAGAACTTTCATAATTTCAGCGCAATACTAGATTGGTAGCAAGATTCTCATCAATCTACAGTTGAATTAGTTAGATATGACCATAAGTTCTGTGCTAACAGTTTCTTTTCTCGCACTTCTCGCTTGTGGGACTCTCTTCCGGCTTCATGCTTTCCTGCCAACTTTGATCTTCAAAAAATTAATTGCAACTTCAATCGTTATCTACTGTCTTTGTGATTACCCTTCTATTTTTTATCGCTCATTAATATTTCTATTTTTTTTCTTATTCTTTCACACTCAGTAACCGCTTGTATCTTAGTAGCTTTATTGATTTGAATGGGTGATACGATTAAAAAAAAGAAGTCAAAACCTTTTTTCGTAACATTCACATTAATTTTTGTCTCCACTTCCATGAAGATTAATGTTGACCATCAATTCTGCCATCAGTTTCTGTTTTCTTGGGAGTAAAAGAGAATGAAAATAGTTTTGAAGGAACTGGAAACCCGACCCTAAACAATAAACAAGGGATTAACCTCTACTCCTGTTCGAGGAGGATGTGAACCGGACGATAGGCTCTAAATTCAGATTTGTCTTTTTCCTATACTGGTTGCTAGCCATGGCTAGAGAATTCAGTCTGCCTTGTTATTTAACCCAGAAAGATCAGAGATGGATTCGTACTTTTCTCAAATATATTTGTGCAAAGATCACAACCAGAATTCGAAATGGGCACGTCAAGTTCACTCCAACAATTAAGAGACCTGCTTATGTAGCATCACAGAAGTTAAGCAACATTTAACCTGGTCAATACGTAGATGGGTGACTGCTTAGGAGTACCAGTCACTATAACCTTGGATATGTGCGGGTGGTGTAATGGATAACGGCACGGAATTGGAAATCGGAGAGCCGAGTTCCAATTTCAGTTGGGTTCGTTATATTCACTTACATGTAAATACTCTTGGATAAAGTATGAACCCATCTCTTCTCAATTAATTAATTAATAGGAATTGTATTAGTAAATCATTATTATCGCGAAACTATTTTTTCAGTCTAAAAATAAATATCCTGGCTTTAAATAACCTGCAAAAGACGTAAAAAAAACAAATCAAAATAATGCATACGTATCTATGCAGCGTAAAATTATATTTAAAGCTGAAAGGATGTTCATTATCGTAGCTCAGTTAATACTGAATAAAAACTACAGGCAAAAAACACGGGTCTGCCCTTTCATGCACAACGTCATCTTCAGGTGTTGAGTATCGACTGTATTCATCACATGAAGACTGCCCTTATATTTTCCTTTATTGGAGAATTGATCTTTGACTCGTGACTAGACTAGAAACAATTAACCTTGCTTTAGTTTGGTGTTTCAAATTTATTGCCTCAATTTGCAGTTATTTTTAGACTTGTGTACTTTTTACGTGAGATTATGCACACACTTTCTTTCTGTCTGTCTGTCTGTCTCTGTCTTTGTCTCTCTCTCTCTCTCTCTCTCTATATATATATATATATATATATATATATATATATATATATATATATATATATCCGGCTTCTGAATAAAACAAAGAGTGTTTTGTACTAGACGTCATTATTGTGTATATGTGTTTTTTTAATTTTATTTTTAATCTATTTTATGGAAATTTTAATGGAATTAATTGATGGGATTTTTTTTTTAAAATAGTAATGAAATTATTATATGGAAAATACTTTTGAAATCCTTTCAATTTTAATTTTCATACTTTACTTTTATATCAGAATTGAAAAATGACCAAATTGCACTTCCATTGGTAAAATCTTTGATACCCATGTAGTTAATCTGAACCATTTAGTTATTTATATCTTGAGAGAAAGTGACCTGCTACGCCAGCCATCACCTATTTAGCCCTTGCCGCTAGCACACAGATGAGCAATCGGCTGCGTCTATTGTCACTGGTGTAATCTTCCTTTAGTTAATGTTACCATACTGTTTCTTAAAAGAAATGATGAGCTTGTTTTAATTCTGTGGGCCATGTTCACCGAGACAAGGGTCAGTCAGGGCTAATTTATATTGTGGGCTAAAGAAGAAAGAGGAAATGAAGATAAAAAAATGGGTATGATGGGAAGAAAAAGAAGAAAGCGAGGCAGTAGTAGGGAGGAACAGGAAAAGGAGAAAAATGAGCAAAGAGGCGAAGAAGAAGATGAGCTGGATTAGAAGAAGAAGAAGAAGAAGAAGAAGAAGAAGAAGAAGAAGAAGAAGAAGAAGGTGACAAAAAGGAAGTGGAAGAAGTGACAAATAATAATAAGAAGGACGAGGAGCAGGGGAGCAAGAGGCCATGACGACAACGACGACGAAGATGACGAAGAAGAAGAAGAAGAAGAAGAAGAAGAAGAAGAAGAAGAAGAAGAAGGGGAGCAGGAGATGACGAAGAGGAAGAAGTGGAGGAAGTGACAAAGAAGAAGAAGAAGAAAAGGAAAAGCAGGGGAAAAAAGAGGCCATAACGACGACGACAACGACTATGACGAAGAAGAAGAAGAAGAAGAAGAAGAAGAAGAAGAAGAAGAAGAAGAAGAAAAAGCAGGAGGTGACGAAGAGGAAGAAGTGGAGGAAGGAAAAGAAGAAGAAGAAGGAAGGAGCAGGGGAGCAAGAGGCTTTAAAGGAAAAAAGAAATGACGAAGAAGAAGAAGAAGAAGAAGAAGAAGAAGAAGAAGAAGAAGAAGAAGAAGAAGAAGAAAGATGAGGAAGAGACGAAGAAGAAGGAGAAGTAAAAGGTGAGGAATAGGCGAAGAAGAAAAAGAAGTGTATTTAAAAATGTTAACAAAGGAAAGACTCATGAAGGAAGATGAATGAATATGAAATTTAAATGAATAAAAAATGAAAAGAAATGATTTAATGAATAAAAAAAAAACAACGCTAGGAAAAGGATAAATGGGAGAAGGTTAAAGAAGAAAAAAGAAAAAAAGAAAAAAAATCTGAAAGAGTTAGAGGACGAAGAAAATAAAAAAAAATAAAACAAAATTTAAAAAGGATAGAGAAATTGAAAATGATGGAAGAAGTAAAAAAAATAGGTGTGGACAGAGTAAAGAGAAAAAAACAAGTTAAACAAAGAAGGAGAATGAGAATTCTAGAAAAAAGTAATAGAAAAGAAAAAAAAAGAACAGTGAAGTTTGAACAATAAAAAGGAAAAGCAGAAAGGTATTAAACGAGTAAGAGAAGAGAAGAAAAGGAAAAAAGAAAATGTCGGTGAAGAAGAGAGAATTAAAACAAGCAAAAGAAAAAAAGTAAAATAAAAAGGACGAAGAGAAAAGAAAGAAAGAAGACATTAGAAACATAAAAAAAAAGTAAAAATGAAAGGAGGATATGAAAAGACAATTTAAAGAAAAAGATAAGATTAAATGTGTGATGTGAACAAAAGGGCAAAGTAAACTGTTTTTTGCTGTATTTTTTTTTCGTGTGTGTGTGTTTTGTTTTTTGTCTCCTAGCTGTTCTATGAAGCATGACGTGCGATGTCCGAAGTTGCATCAGTCTATAGCAAAAAGAGCTATGAAAGACGATTAAAAGAAGATTTAATACACATTCACCCAACTGGCCATGTCAAGGTAACCAACATAATAAATGAAAACACAACAGTTTTATTCCTTTTGCTCTTGGATTTTCTTTCTTTGCTGAAGTGTTGTTAATTTTCTTGAGCTTAAGAGACATCCTTATATTTTTTTTCAATCCTTTGGAAGCACTTACACGCCTGTGAGTGTGAGAGAATGACCGAGAAAATAGATTGATGGCATGGGATAGAAAAAAGAGAAAATATACGTGTATGCCTGAAAGAGTTGACAAATGTGTCTTTGAATCGGTTTTCGATTACATGTGTCAAATTTGATATAACTTAGTACAAGACAAGATTACGACACTAGAACGCCGTTTTGGAATGAGCTTTGTACGCTAGCTAACGATCTACCAGATGAGCTTGATAACACTTAAGCTGAGCCAAGCGCGTTTCTTGCTAAGCTTAACTTGATGTTTCTGATACTTATTAAAATTAGCTAGGTACGAAGAAACAAATAAACTTCATAGAAACAAAGAAAAGACCATTGAACTATTAGGTGATATCTATCCTCATATATTGCAGTGAATGGTGGACCATCTTTTCAAACACGAATAAGAGACTTGAAGCAACAGACATGTGGTTCTACAGAGGGATGCTGAGGATACCATGGACCAAATATGTTCGCAACGACGAACTTTTAGAGAAAATGTAAACAAAAAGGAAACTTATACGTAACATCAGGAAGAGAAAGCTGAAATTTTTTATATATATATATATATATATATATATATATATATATATATAAGTTTATTTTTTATATCTTTATATCAACTTACCTATCTATCTACCTATACATACATAATACATATCAAGATACAGCCCACGGCCCTTCACATACACACACAAACACACACACACACATTCACACACACACACACACTCACACACATAAATATACAAAGTACGTTCAAGCATGTAACAGACTGTTGCCACTTAGTGGGCATTATTCTTATATATACCCAGGATGAGTACTTTTAGCCAATTATACCATACTCAATACTTATATTTTATATTTTATCATATCTATCTATCTATCTATCTATCTATCTATCTATCATCTATCTATCTATCTATCTATATACATCTATATATATATATATATATATATATATATATATACATACACACACACATATATATATATATATATATATATATATATATATATATATATATAAATTGTAAAATAAGCTTAATTCAATTTCATTCAAATAATTATATTGAAAATAAATTTTGGCTCTTGTTTTGAAAACATGAGAACTCTTATGTATGATGGAATCATATTTTAAAATAAATAATTATATTTATGCTCTACTTTTTGTATCGAGCACTATTTTTTAAAATAATAAACAAAATACTAAAGAATTAAAGTTCTTTCCTATTTTCTATATATATTTTACACACACACACACACATATACATATATATATATATATATATGTTTAGTAAAATATGACAAACTGGAAAGATTTTTTTTTTTTTTTTCTGAAATATTTTCATCCGTTAGGATTTCATTGGACTGGGCTTCAATGACATTGCCACATCTACATATACACACGAAACGAGAAAAGCAGGTGGTTTAAAAATATTTTGAAAGAATATTTTTTGATGAAAAAAAAAAAATACATATATATACCTTTCGGTATGTATCTATCTATTTAACAAGTATGTACCTATCCCACTACCTATCTATCTATCTATCTACATATTAATCTATCACAATCTCTTTGCTCTATCTAGTTAACCGTAATTTTCTATCTCCCTTTTCATCTCTCTCTCTCTCTATGTACATTTTCTATCTATCTATCTATCTATCTATCTATCTATCTATCTATCTATCTATCTCTTCATACATACATACGCACAAGCTTTTCACAATATTTAGCTTTGTGTCGATAAAGAGTTTATTTACCGACGCACATAAGCAAATATCTGTCATTGATGCAGATATATTTCTTAATGCAGTTATGTAATCTATTATTATGCCATAATATAAAGGTTAGGTTTAACATACATTTTTCAGCGAAAAGCTATAAGTCACGATTCAAATATGCATATATATATATATATATATATATATATATATATATATATATAATAAAAAAACGAAAGAATATTAACATACTCGCCAGTGTGTCTGAAGATTTTAATTTTTTAATATTTTTTATTGTTCAATATATATATATGTCAGTGTGTGTGTGTCTGTGTTTGTGTGTCTATTTATATATATCATAATTTATAAACCTATTTTGACATACTTCGCCAACAAACCGGAATCACAGGAAAAAAACTATTTAAACAAAATCTACATTAGCAGACTAAACGTGACTGACTTTTAATATATATATATATATATATATATATATATATATATATATATATATATATATATATATATATGTTTAAACATATATTGTTAAATATAACAGAAAATGAATGTCTATTATGTTTGAACATGAGCCGTTCTAAACATCGTATTGTTACTTTAATTTCGGGTGAAAATAAAGAGAAAAATTGTCCAATATTTAGATATTTCTTTTTATTTACGTTGGACCTTGATCTAAACTTTCGGCTCAGATGATATATATTAGATTCATATAGTGCTCAATGTAATACAACAGTTATATTAAGTGTCTATTAATAAATATGCATATATATTGTATATTAATATGCAGAATATAATAATATAATATAATATATATATAATATATGATAATATATATATTATATAATATATATAATATATGCATATAAATTGTATATTAAAAATATGCATATAAAAATTTAACTGATAGTACGCGAGGAAATTTCATGCACTTCAAATCTTCAGGTGCTTGGTAGATACTATACTCAGCACATGAAGATTGCTTTGAGCAGGAAACTACGAGTTCTGCTCTCGGTATAATATCTATCTATCTATCTATCTATCTATCTATCTATCTATCTATCTATCTCAGTCTGTTTCTATCTATCTCTCTTTTAATCAATCAATCTATCTATCTCTTTCTATCAATCTAATAATCTTTAAAAAAATGAAAATTATCAATCTATCTATCTTTCTATTTATTTCATCTATTATTCTATTTATTTAAATATCTATCTATCTCAGTCTGTTTCGATCTATCTATCTATCTAAAAGTCTGTATATCTATCTATCTATCTATCTATCTATCTCAGTATGTTTTATCTATCTAACTATATATCTAAACAGAGAATTTAAAATCTATCTCAGTATGTTTCTTTCTATCTATCTATCTATCTATCTATCTATATCTATCTATCTATCTATCTATCTATATATATATATATATATATATATATCTATATATATATATATATATATATATATATATAAATCTAACAATCCCACATTCGATGAGAACCTTCGTAATGATACTTGTCAACTAGGATATATCAATTTTTAAAAAAATGTTAAAAAATGAATTTACTCAGGCGTTAAATGTTTTATGAGTAAAAGGACCACACTCCAACTGCTATACGACAGTGTTATTTCCAATTACTAAATTAGTACTAAATTACTACTGACACATTCTGGAATAAAAGTAAAAATAATGGGTTGAAATTACTTATAATATACAAGGTGCAGCAATGCCCTTTTTATTCGTTTACTTTTATTGAACAGAAATAAATTACAGCAGTTTAAGATGGCTTAAAATTAACTATTGACCTACCCGTTCGGGTATGGTTAAACCTTAATTTGGAGCTGACGAGAACTGGACAGCGTGGAGCAGTTGAGTGGCCATTACGACCACCAGATCTAACACCACCAGACTTTTTCATGTGGTGTGTACTGAAAGATCTTGATTACAGGCTCAAATCTAAAATAATTCCTGAATTAAAACAAGCAATTCATGATATATTTTCGGAAATTAATACAGAAATATATCAAATATTTTGTAGAAGAGCTGCTGATAGGATTCAGCGTTATATTGGTCATAAACGGGAGCATTTTAAACATGTTAAATGGTTTGGTAATCCTTACAAATCATATTGTTATTCTGTGACAATACTTAGAAATTTTCTTAAACTGCTGTAATTTATGATTGTTTAATAAAAGGAAAGAAATAAAAAAAGGTTTTACTTTTTTTCCCGCACCATTTATTAATATGAGTTATTCTTAGTCTAGGAGATTTATCATATAAAATTGTTGGAATAATTTCTGTGAGTCAGTTTCATCGGGATAGCATTTAAAAATAGACGTTATCATAATTGTTTCATTTGCTATTCCCTGGATTTTCCGCTAATATTTTACTTATTTTCTGTCACGACTTTACGCATTTTCGACAATAAATCATCCTATCAACACTTTTACCCATACATATATTTCTGTATATATATATATATATATATATATATATATATATATATATATATATATATATATATATATATATATATATATATATAGGGCAGCATTAAACAACATTCCTTAGAAAATCATACCCATGTACATAACTGTTGAAACTCGACTAATGCATGGAATAATAATGCAACACAAAATGTACTTAGAACAAAATGTATTGAAATAAAAAAGTGTACACAATATTTACATATAGTCTTTTGTATATTCCTGGTAAGACCGTTCCTGGAGAATGTGTTGACTGAGTCGCAGTCGGGCAAAGTCTCTGGTTGAATCTCTTGATTCCTGTATTTATCTATCCACCCACGAGGATAAAATGTGGCACAAGGCCGGTTTAAGTGGGTATCTCCAGGCCCGTAGGCTCAAAATAAAATATTGGCCTTTATGAACCCGTCTAGACGGGTTCAAGGCCTCCTCTCGGCAAAGCCTCGTCCGGGTCCCTCACTGCAATATGCAGAGAGTTAGAGTGAATCTCTGGATTCCTCCCTCTCTTCCCGGTACCAACCATATTTATATGGTCGGTACTCCACTATGCAAATTAGGTGGATCCTACCACAACAATAACATTAGACATATATTAGATATTAGATAAACCATACACATACATATGTGCATATATATATATATATATATATATATATATATATATATATATATATATATATATAGGTGTAACAAAAAATTGTACGAATCGTCCAAACACCAAAATTGTCCAATTTTTAGATTAAGTTTTGAAGCGTTGTAACATAGAAGTGATTAAATGTATCTTACTGGAATCCTCTGAGGTTTTTATGACTCTA